ATGGTTGTCCATAAACCAATAGCTGACGTCACGGTGGGTTTACACTGGATGCAGACACACAGGCAGAGTAGGAAAGTGTTCCTTCGAGGCAGTTTACCCAGAAGAGATGACGTTGTTGCATTCTGGACCAAACTGGAAACAGGCAGAAACAGCAGGAACACAAGGAACACAATGACTGGTGTAGCATCATTAATGATCTGGCAAACAAAGAGAATGAACAGTCTTCTATTTATAGTGTGGAGCTAATGAATTCCTGAGTAGAGGAAAACTGAACAGGTGGCACGAGTGGACAGGTGAGGAACAGTTTGTCACAGCAGATGTATTGACTTGTCATAGTAGGAATAGTACAGGTGTCACTAATAACAATAGCATTCTACTCGAGTGTAACAGGAAGTGTTTACAGTGAGCCATCATGAACAAAACCAGGACGGGAAACTGAAGAAGTTGTAAAATGTCTTCTGTGATGAAGGCATCATAACGTGATTAATATGACTGAATTTTGAATGTGTATTTTTGTTACTCATCATGAACTTAACTGTGAGTCTGTGGAAGTCACTGTGGTACTGTTGAATGTTGTAAAACAATAAATCATTTGTGTTTACTCCTATAGGTACTACACTATATGTGGAGCCTTATCTCACAGCAAATGTATACCTATTTGAAGGACATTATATTACTCATTTCAATATTGAAAATTAGAAATTATTTACCCTAATGCTATCTAAAATGATTTACAGGGCTAGTGTATAACGTTTAGGAGGATCTATTGGCAGCAATTGAATATAATATTTATAGGTATGTTTTCAATAGTGTATAATCACCTGAAAATGGGAATTGGTGTGTTTTCATTACCTCAGAATGAGCTGTTTTTAGATTCAGACGCCATGGGATGGTTGCCATGTTGAACCACTATGTTTCTACAGTAGCCCAGAATAGACAAATCAAACACTGGAGGGTGAAGCTAGGGAGTTGCAATCTGAAACTACACCACTATGCCACTGAATCTTACACACAGACCTTTAACCTAAACTTAACCAAAAGGTTTAAGACAGTAAACGACAAAGAAAGCTCCAACTACAGTATATCTTCAATTCTTTGTCTATTTGTGCTTAAAACTGCAAATAAATTGCCATTTTGTTTTTAAATTGTTTCTTCATTTGGTGGCATTGTTGTTCATTGTATAGTATTTTTTAAAATCCCCTATGCCATATTGTGTGTCTGCAGTACTTTGTGACTTTAAAGTAAACACACTTATCCCAGTGTTTTTTTTTTTTTTATAAAACAAGATCATATAAAGATTTGGAAGCATCTTGAAACATTTATGGGGAGAGATCAAGCAGATGAAAAGCAGCAGGCTCACCATGTAAATAAACAGAAACGAAACAAAGGCTTCAGAGACAGATTCTGTGCAGTAAGTCGAAAGCACTCAGTGGCTCTGCGCTGCTAAATTCCCATAACAACCCCGTAGTAAATGAGCTGGATGGTGTTTTAATGTGTTTTAATGGGACATAATGAGTTCACTGCTGGGAGATGTTTTACACCAGCAAGCTTGGCTTTTACTTGCCTGCGGTTTAGATATGACACACACAGATACACACTCAAACAGATACCACAACAACACAAACTCAGTAGTGAGAACACCGGATGGACTTACATGGAGGCTCACCTTGTCTAACCCTAACCCCTTCTGCAACTGTAACTTAAAGGACCAGTGTGTAGGATTTAGTGGCGAGACGAGACGAGAAACTGCGCTGGCTGCAAAACTTGTTCTAAAATGTGAAAGAGCCAGTGTTTGGTTGGTCCGTTCTGGGTTACTGTAGATAACATGGCAGAATCCAAACAGGACCCGCTCCATTTGCAGATAAAATTGCCATTCTAAGCTTACGAAAACACAATTCTTAACTCATGATCACATTTAGACATCAGAGCAGCCGAAAGAGTCAAACTGCACATAGCCATCCTCATCCAGCTTTCACACAGGGTCATCATCAAACACAAAACACATGGAGCTTATTCTGATAAATGCCTGGACATCAGTTTCTGGTTCTCCACAGAAACGACACCATCGTCTCCCCTCCAGGTTACAGACGAGCCAAGAATTGGTCTGTTGCCCAAGAGCTTCATGTGCTGTCCAGATAACACTTTCTTGGCACAACCAGTGCTGATATTCTGTTGTCTTCTATCAGGTGAAAAGAAGTAGAGCTGCAGCAGAACTACCTGTTTCATTCATTCATCTGTAATCCTGACCACGGACATAAGATTTAAGGACCCTACTGTTAGTTAAATTTTTTTGGCTGTACATGTTATGTATGATTGACCCTCATACTAACCATTATAGGACCAGTGTGTAAGATTTAGTGTCATATAGCGGTGAGATTGCAACCAACTGAAACCTCTTGACTCAAATATAACTACGATGGCTGTGAAACTCTACGAACTCATGGTGGTTAAACATGGCAGCATGGCTTCCGAGAATGAGGAAATGCACTGTGTAAATAAAATTGTCTCATTCTAAGATACTGTAAAACACAATGATTCTTATTTCCAGCTGATTATACACTAATGAAAACATCTTCCATTTCTGCCAATAGTTACATGTTACACACTGGAGCTTTGAAACAGACGAAGCTCGAGGCAGGGATTGTTTGTAGGTCATGTCAATAAAGAATAAACAACATGTATAATCTATCTATATCAGACAGTTATAAAATAACTACATCTAAACAGACGGGGGATCCTTGAGACCACATCTTATCAAATACGGGTCCACTGCCTGCTGTGTATCATTTTGGGCATCCTTGACACCAGAAGAGATGAGAACCACTGCTTTAAACTTGCTTGAGATAGGTAATCCATTATGACACACAATCTCTCTGGTCCTCACACTTCCCATCGCCCATGTCAGGACAGTGTATATTACAGAACTCAGAACACTGCAACTGTGACACAGTCTAAATACGCCCTGAACAGACTCTCTAGGGCTAAATGATGAGGGATAATTCACAGACAAAATTAGTTGAGCACAATAATTAAGATTCTCCAGCATATTGATTTGCACCTTATGTTCAGCGATGGAGAAGAGAAAGAGAGAGAGAAAGAGAGAGAGGAAGCGAAAGAGAGAGTCGCATTTTGCATGAAATGATGACGCCCTCTCTCTCTCTCTCTCTCTCTTTCTCTCTGTGTGTGTCTCAGTCTGCCGGCTGTTGCCGCTCCGCTCACACTGTTTCACCCTGTGGAGGCTGTGTAACCTGACCACCACCACTATTACTGAACGGTTTTTGGCGGATTTTGAGTGAAATGAAGTGACTTTTCCTCTGGATGGATACGTGACAGCAGAGATCCGGGATCCTGAATGTGAGTACAGCGTTGTGCGCCTCACTCAGCTCTGTCTTCACTCTTTTCTTTACACACAGAGGAAGACGTGTGAGTGAAACTGTCACCAGCGTTACATACATAATATCTATTTTTAGCCTAATTTGTCACTCACAACATGTACTTTTCTGTATGTGAATGTGTAAATACCCATACTGGACTAACGTGAATTACTAGTATTATGTATTATTATTGGTATAGTACTGTAAGTATTTTTCCAAACAACAAAACGTCGGGTGAATCATACATACAATATAAACTATAAGGTCACAGGAATATAACATAGCAGTTATACTATTATATAGGCAGTCTATAAATGGGTATATTCAAGTGATGAAATATTTAAATGAATGTTATAAGTAGTTAATAAATCTATCTATCTATCTATCTATCTATCTATCTATCTATCTATCTATCTATACATTTTCGGTAGTTTTCCAGTAGTTGTTAGGCTTATTACTGGCACTTGGATCATTAGGTCAGTATGTCAGCATATTCACATCCCATAACATTAAGTCATACATTGCTTCACTGTTTATGATGTGGATTAAACACTTCACAGTAAGTCAACATAATGTTCTCACTATACATAATAAACTGTCAGAGGGGTTTTAAGACATCAAAGGAAATAAAACAAGTCAGCACATGCTGTACATAAGCGTCTCCTCTGCTCTTTCCCCTGACTTTGAACTGAACTTGTATTCTACGTCTGACATCACTTCCACTCTTCACACAGCAGACTGGTTTTTGCTCCCATTGACTTGTTGCAAGACCAAGTCAAATTGCATTAGTAAATGGAACATGGGGTGAGCTGGAAGCGTTGATGTTACAGTACAGTAGCCACTTGTGTCTCTGCCACAGCTCTGGGGGTTTTGACTGCAGACAATAAATAAATCATGAGACTGAACAACTAAATCACCCGCTTGTGTCACTGAGCCCCTCCAACTATATCTTGCTCTGTGCAGGGACCAGAACATTGTTCTCTTAGGGGTGAGGTGGAGCAGAACCACCTTTGATGCTATGAAGAACCTTTTAGAACGTAGTTTATTATGTGTAAAGCTTCTTCATTGAACCTTGTTGCTCATTTACTGGCTACCTGTAATTTTGCCATTTGATCATTTTGAAAAGCAGTCTGCAGAAAGGAAGGAGAGGAAGGTTGAGTTTTTAGACCTCGGCCTGTCTGACTATCAATAGGTTATCAATATTATAATTTGGTGGTGATCCAGTTTTTTTTTTTTTTTGCCATAGCAGCAGATGTGCTGCATTTACTTGCTGGTGGAGCTATAAGATAAAGGTCAAGTACTTAATTCTGCTGCTCGACAGTGCTGTGTTCATGCATTTTTCTGTCAGAAACAGATGATAAACAAACAGTAACAGTAAAGATCCTGCTGGTTTCCAAGTGTTGTGTGTGACACCAAGCTCCTTGTACTGTAGTTTTATCTTTAATTGTTTTGTGTCGAAGTTGTGAAGTCACTGCTCTTTGGGATGGCGCAGATACTCTGAATTAAAAGATATGGACGTGAGAGTAAAGTTTATACAGCGTCTTTAAAGGATTATTTCCTGGCAAGAGTCTTCCATTTCTTTATACAAATGCAAAAGGAAGAAACAGAGGGAAACAGAATGCAGCAGGAATATGAAACCACACAACTTCAAGGAGGATGAATGGAGTTTGACCAAATCCAATTATAGATTCATGTTTACTATCACGGATTATCTTGCCCGCTGGAAGTTGACTTTGATGCTTTAGAAGAATGAATGGCAGCCACTTGCTTCCTTTGAGAGAAATGTTGAGAAGTCTTTGGAACAAAATTCAGTTTTTATTAGTCAATTTCTTGGGCAAAAAAAGGACTTGACAAACTCTGAGTATGTGTGTAATAGTCTTTAAATAAGCAGATGAGCCACCTCAGGCAGTGAGAGAGACAGACAAGAGACAGTGATCTCCGGGAAAGCATCGTGCTTCATTGAGCTGCAGGGAAACGTTTCAACAGACCTTAATGGTTTTCTTAGTAAACAGTCGGCACAATGAATCCTCTGTTCCTCCTACAGAATTCCTGCTTTCAACTCCAACAGTTGTAATATTAAAATCAGTAGAATCTCCTTTTCTTCTCTTCTCCATGTCTGTGCTCTTTCTTCTCTTTCCGTCGATTCTCCTCTCTCCCTCGCTCTCTTTCAACCCCCTGTTGTTGTGTCTCTGGTGTGATTTTAATTTTCAGCTTTTAACTTGCTTCGCTGGCTTCAAAACTATATAAAACAGCAATAAATGCAATCTGGTAATAAGAGAAAAAATCTACGATCAGATGAGTATTAAATGCAGAACTTACATGCAATATTGTCTTTCTCTCTGTCTTGTTGTCTCTATTTCAATGTATCGTTTATAATAACATTCGAAATAAACCATCCTCTCCTCTTCCCCACCCCCCCTCCTCCGCCATCCCTCGTACTGAACTATTTCTGACCTCTTAGGAAAGATAATCTGTGCTGTTTTAGCTTCAACCTTGGAGGCAGAAGGATGACTGTGGTTAGCTAAAAACCCCCAGCTTTACTTACCTACCAGTTCCTTTTACCACTCCCCAACCAATCACACACACACACAAACACACACACACACACACACACACCGCTACCTCCTCCTCAATCCTCAACCTAGATAGATCCTTCTACTCCCTCCTTGTTCACCGTGTCCTTCAGAAGTCGGACAGTGGTGTGACCTTTACAGAAGAATGCGTTCACCCTTGGGTGAAGTTTGGGAGACAAACACTCATGCGGCTTACTTTTCAACACAGCTCACTGCAACATCAGTCTCTCAGAACAACATGCAGTGCTGGACTGTGCTTTAGAACAGGATTCAGTTCATGTACAGTAAGTTTGGTTGAAAAGTGCACAACTGTGAGTATGCACCAAGTCAGACAATAATTAATAGTTTTTAGGGTAGTCTATTTCTTTAGCCACCTGGTTCCAGGGATGGGGAATGCTGGTTGGTGCACCACTTTGATCCAGACTGAAATATCTCAAAAACTCAAATATTAGATTAGGAAAGGAAAGGAGATAGAACAAGAAGAAGAAGACTATAAAACAAAGGGAGCAGAGCATAAGAAATGGAGAAAAGAGAGGAAGGGGACAAGAGGAGAGGAGAGCAGTAGGAGGCAGGCTAGAGACTAGAGAAGGATGACAGATGTGTGGGAGAGGACACAAGGACAGAAAAAGGAGCTTCAGAGGGGGGTGAATGTGAAAAGAGAGAGCAGTGATGGTGTAATTGCTCTCCAGAGGAGTTCTGAGAAGCAGCACTTAAGAGCCTGTGTGGTTAAGTAATCACTGTGATTAAGGGCCAGAACGGCTACTATGTTAGAGAACGACACTAACAGCTAGCCTGACTGGAGGATCGACACCCACTGCACTTCACTATCACATTATACTGTAACTTAACAGAACACCATTGCTTAATGCGAAAACCACAGATTCTGCTAATTTGTGAAATGTTGTGAAAAGAGTATTTTAGATTGTTGGGATTTCCACCAAGTGCAGTCTGGACGTTGCTTTTAAGGGTTGAGGGACAAATTATTTCTTCTGAAATGAAGTACATCTGCCAGTTGCAACTTCATGACATACCTCCATAATCGGTGCTATGAATGTAAATTACATACTTAAATTTAAACATGTGGGTTGTGGGTGTGTTGTGCTGAGCACGTCATTTTGAGTGCCGGTGCGGAGGCATTATGTTTTGGGGTTATTTGTGTAAACTTAGCACAATCATCCACTTGGACCCAAGGATGAATTGATTAGATTTTTGTGGTGAAAGGTTAAAGATCAAGGTCACCGTGACCTCATGTCTGTCCCATTCTCTTCAACGCAATATCTGAGAAATGAAAGGGAATTGCTTGAAACTAAAGTGCAAAGCTCTGCTTCTGTGTAGGGACTCCTGTCTGCTTCTGCAAACTGGGGGTGCCCTGAACGCAATCTACTGTAGGTACAGAGGTACCTTATACAGCACCACTTTAAAATACCCAAACTATCCCTTTAATGCCCAAAATATAGATTATTAGAACTTTATTTCCTGAAAATTTGACATACAAGAGATGCATACATTCACTTCATAGCCACTGAGTCAAATTGGTTGATACTATTTTACCTATAGACACCTATATCAAGGGTTAGTATTGGTTGTAACAAAAAAATTTAGAAACCAAACAATAATACAATCAGACAAATTAGGCACAATATTCAATCTACTGTAAATGAATGTAAAGTGTTAGCATCGAGTGCTGGAGTAACTGATCTACCAGGGATGTTATCAGTGCCTTTGGCAATTTGACCAACAGGTCAACCTCCATAAAACTAAACACAAACACACTGAGGTGATGGATGGACAAATGGATTATTTCTGTCCAGCTCGGAGTGAGAAACATCAGCCTGCAGTCTCACAGCTCACCTAATTGGATAATTGTTCCAGAGACACTGAAAGGTGTCACGATTCCGGTCTCTTAATTAGAGGGATGACTCATAAGCGAGTGAAGGTGACAGTGGTTTGAGTCACTCACACGCATGCACACACAGACACACACATACACACCCACATCCAGAACAGTCCGGTGGTAAGTGTAGCTACACGTTTAATTGGAGGTCTCTGAGCAGAGTGGTGTTTTTGTGCTGGTGTTTTATCGTGGGCGATTCTGCTTTTGTTTTCCTAGAGTCAAGAGCTCATTTGCATCAGCAACAAAGTCTCCTGCCAACCTCTGCTTTGTTTGTTGTTGTTATGGCAATATGAAAATTATTTCCTTTATCAAAAATCTGAAATACCAGTTAACTGGGAACTTATCTGTTTGACTTTGAAACGCTTAACTGGCCTGACATCAGTGAGATGACATTTTACTGCTCCATGTCTTCATCGACTAACGTATGATAAGAAAATAATCAACTGCTTCTGATCCATCACAGTGATGGGGTCAATAATTTATGAAGTATTTAATTAGCATCATTAGATCATT